AGGGGGGAAACCAAGAGAATCGCAAACAAACATGGAAAATCGACATCAGACAAATGGCGACAACGTTGCCAGTTGTAGTTGTTATTGTTGTTCTTCTTGTCTCTGCCGTTGGCTTTCTAGTTTTATTAGTTCTGCCCAGCATTTTGGCCACACGTGCCAGCCATCCATTCACGCATTCTACGACGAGTCCATTTCCATTTCCAATCCCATCTGTACAACTCGCGAAAATCTTTTCACACTGCCTGTTTTATATTTCGTTGGTCTTGGGGAAAATGAAAAGACATCATCATTCGCTTGTTTGTTGCTCTTTTATCTGAAACGAATTGAAATAATAAGTTCGTTTGCTTTTGCATATTGGAATTTTTGCCGGCATATCGAATTTCGTATTGGAATTCCTTCAAAAATGCTTTTAAATGTTTCCGAGAGCCACGAGCATCGAGTAATAGCTCAGTTGTTTCCATGTGAAAAAGTTTTTGAGTTAAAAAAGATTATTATATAGCAACGATACAGGTTCTCTTTGATTATTAGGAATTTTTGCACCTTAGAAATTTGATTTTAAATAAAATTCAGGCCTAACAAAATATTTATTTTAGAGTATAGGATTTTTTCTAGCTTATAAATATTTTTACCATAATCAAATACACTTTGAAAATATAGTTTTAATATACTTTATAACTCTATGTAGTAAATACCTAGTCATTTTTTCGAGGCAATTTTCTATGCAGATTTTGAAAACTGTTGTTAACTTTTAATCTTTTACAAGTTCAACGGAACTTTTACCTTTAATAAACCACACAGATAAGAGCCTATAGCAATGCACTTTAATCGACACTCAGGCGTCAGGTGAGCAATTGTTTGCCTTAGCCTAGGCCAACACGGCGTATGCGCAATGCCCATTGTCATTTCTGACACTCAAACCCCCCCTTTATATGGGACACTCTTATCTGGCCTGGAAGCTTAATCATGCAAATACCATAAGAGAGCCTTAACTGAAGTGAATTGAAGGGTTCCCCTGGAGTCCCAACACTCCGCAGATATGGAAAAGAGACGCGTGCTACAGCTGTAAACTTTTATCCAGACAAACAAGATAGTGAGTGGTGGATATGCGCATACTCGCAGTATTTGTTTATGGCCCGATAAATCACTTGCGTGTCCGGAGACGCTAGTCAAGAGGATCCAGCAGTGACACAATGTCGCGAGCCAATAAAAATGAATCAAAAATAATCAAATAAATAACACTCGAACGCATTCGAAATCATAAATAACCCCCAGCCGGAGGGAAAACCGAACCGAGAGCGAGGGGAAATTTATATGAATTTTATTTTTTGGAAAAACTTCCGCTGACAGCGGCAGCATCTCTTAGCATCTTGCCAAATGTGGGTCACCCGCCGAGCTGCCAAAATAAATTGTCTCGCAGTCCGAGAGTATTGGAAGATTTACATATATCCGTATATATACCTATATATTTTTTTTAAGGCAAAAAGCGCATTTCACATTGCACAATTTGGGATAAACCCATCGGAACAATGAGGTTTAGAGTGGTAATGACTATGTAAATTGCATTCGGTGAATGAATGGAGTAATGCATGAGTGTGTGCAAGTGCATGCACTGGAAAAAGAGGGGATAATTGAGATTAAAATTAAATGAAATTAAATATTAAAGTCATATAAGCACGCAAAGATACAAGTTTTTGTGCCTGTTTTGATGTTAGAATTTCGAAATCCTATCAATTTAGATAATGAGACTGATGATACCCTTTATTTTTTTCCTGTGTACGATTGTGAATGGCAATTGGGCCCGACAGATGGCGCCAGTTGGCGTGTCGCATGCAATTCCGCTGATTAATTCAATGCAAACGGACTTAATTTTCACGAAGCGACCTGGGCAACCAGCTTGATGCGCTAACCACATGTTGTCGCCCCCCTTTAGCCCACACCCCTGGATCGCTTGAACCCCCGTACTGGCGCATCCTCCCCTGAAATTAGCCGCTTTTCTTGTGCCCGTTCGCTGATGGATTTGCATGAATCATTGGCGGCAGCGTCACGCTCGAGAAGAAAAGCGCGTCGGGCAAAAAAAATGAAATGCAAAAATATTATTTGAAATATGAAAAGTTATTTTAATGCGCCTTGTCGCTGCCTGTCTCCGACGTAGTCAGTCTTTCCCTCCTGTCGCCGTCTCTCGCTCTGTTTCCCTTCTGTCTGTGCGCTAAATTGGGGAGCAGCAGGCAACGAGGCGACGACGACGACAGTTTTCCTACACTGACAGAAAGCTTAAAGAGAGTCCTTACTAAACTGGTTAAAATCCCTGTATATTTGTGATAAAAAGAGCAAGAAATCTTGAAGAAAAATAACAAAATGTGCAACTAAAAAGCAAAATAGTTCTATACATCCCTCACTTCAAGTGCCAAATGATCTTAAATTAGGAACCAATGTCAATTTGTTTGTTTTGACAGTGTACGTTTTCTTTGGCACCGCTTCCTCCATAGCTGCTCCCCATGCCAGACTTTTCCGGAAGCGCGTCGCGACATCAGCCTTTGGCTCTGACGTAGGCCCCGGACCCGAACCCCCGTTTTGTTGACGCACTTCCACCAAGAAGAACAGCAGCCAAAAGCCAACAGCAGCCAGCAGCCAAGAGGCCAATGAGCCCTGCTGGAGTATATCGGATTTCAGTTCGATTCCCTTATCCTTTTCGGCTCCAAATCGATTCCCTCCTCCTCCCCCACCGACATTCACAAATCAAACAAAACAAACACCCAATACTCCGGTATTCCGATTCCGATTTCGAGACGAGAGACCAATGGCCCGAATGAAAAAAAGCACACATACTTTTAAAGCGCATAATTAAGTCATAATGAGGAGTGGAGTGTGGTTGTGGCAGGCATTTGGGGAATATGATATGCCAATTTTTTGTTGGCCAAAACGAACTGAACACGCAGAAGGCAAATAAAAATGTTCATCTTATTATTCTGGCTGGGATTTCTGGTTAAATCAAAGCGTAGAACCGCTCAGGGGGGCTCGAGGGCTCCTCATGACAATTGTCAACTTGTTTTGTATCTGGATCGGTATCTGTATCTGTAGCCGTAGTAGATGTATCTGTTAAAGTATCTCTAACTGCGTGTGTGTACGCCGGGTGCCTTTTTATTCTTATTAATTGACTTTGTGTTGTACTCGGTGTGGACACTTGTGAGTTGACGTTTCGGATCTGATCCATTCACTCATACTCGCACGGACACTCTCACAGATACAAACGCACACACAAACACATCCAGAGTTTTTTTTTTTTGGGAGCGTGAGAAAGTGGCGCGCACAATTAAAATGCTGCTTTATGGCCCGACGCTGGGCCAAAGCATAAATTATAAACAATAATTTATCTTTTAATATACTCAAAATTATATAGAATAAATACACCTCTATATAGGCAATTACACTCGAAAAAAATGGACTAGAGAGAAGCCAGGGCCTAAATTGATTTGATATTGCTGATTTATTTTTACTCTCTGCTAACCTTAAATAAGAAACTAACTACTTAAAGCAAGAAATTTGGTAATAATATGATTAATACATATTTTATTTAATTTTTAAGAAGTATAGAATGGATATAGCTGGAATCTAGGGCCCTAGAATGGCATTGTTGTAATACACCAACTAAGAGACACATTTTGCACTTGTTGCCTTTGAAAATCAATTTAAAATCTGCCAAATTAATTAAAAGGAAAGCTTTCTTATATTTTAAAACACTAAATTTTCTTCAATTTTGTCCCTCAGTGTACATTTTTAAATCTAAAATATACTGTATATATCCATATGGACAGCTTCGTCTGGCCACGCGATCCTCCTCACATAAATTAACATTTGCCGGGCATTAAATCAGCGCAGATCTTGTAGACTGCTTGGAACTTGGCTATACATATATCCACAATATATATGTAGCTTGATATTCCCTTCCAATTGCATAATGCCAATGCAAGTGGCTTCCCTGACACCCAATGAAAATCTAAAAAATGTCGAAATAAAGATAGATTAGCCAAAATAGCAATGCTGCGGCAATCGATGGTTGATCATGATCGGTGGTGAGTCGGGTGAATGAATCACTTGGCTGTGGGTGACAGCGCACGCAGGTCTCAATTAGCATGTGACGAGCACTTAGACAATCCGCCGAATAGAAAATAAAAGAAAACCCGCCCACCAGACACGTGATATGTTGGCTAATTTAAGCGCTAGCCGGCGGGGGAGTGGCACGGCCCAATGCGAATGGCCAATTCGTAGAAGACAGCAGCCGCCACAGTTTCATTGCCAATTTGTCGGCATTGATGAGTCAGTCTGTTGTGAGTCTTTAATATGTAATTGGGTATATAATATATATTAGAAAAAATTAAATTTCTATATATTTAATCATTGATAAAGGCTGGCAGCTGGGCACACAGGATGGATTTCCGCAGATAAGGATTTCTACATAATTACTAAACATAAAGGAAAGCCTTGACAGGGAATTCCATAAAACCTAAACCTGATGAATGAAGTGAACATATAAATATGTCATAAATATTTATTATAGTTTAAGATTCCTTCATTGTAAAGGATTGCTTTTCAATTGAGGTTTCCTGTTATAAATCCCAACTCCCTATTTATTTGCCCTGTCATCGCAACTAAACCAATTTTCCGCCCCATAAACCGTTTGTTTTTGTTCTTTTCCACCTCGAAAGTGGAAGTGCCAGACAAATGAAAATTTCTTTTAACGATCTACGCGGAACGCGACGCGACGCCCATTAAAACATAGAAAAGCGCCAGGCGAAATTCTCCAAAGAATGCTAATAATTTTGTGTAGTTTGCTATTTTGTTTACTGGAAGAGCTGTCTGAGAATCATATAAAGTCTATAAAGACAGGTGGAAAATTCCGCTAATTAGCCAAGGGGGCCACGATCCTACACGATGTTGCTTTTGATCGATTTGAAAGATGAAAGAAATGCATGGCCTAATGATTTCTCTGGTGTTCCTTACAGCACAGAACGCATCGATCATATCGATCACCGCGGTGCCGAGCAACACGACCATCGAGCACGGCCGGGAACTGAAGATCGTCTGCCGGGTGTCCGGACAGCCGCCGCCGAAGGTTACCTGGTTCAAGGACGACAAGTCCATTAATCGCAAGCGCAACGTTTACCAATTCAAGCATCACAAGTAAGTTGGCTCTTTTGTTTAGTTTTAGTTATTTTATTTAAAAAATGTATGTTATTTTTGTGCCTAAATAGAAGACGTTCCGAGCTGATCGTGCGCTCCTTCAATAGTTCCTCCGATGCGGGCAAGTACGAGTGCCGGGCGAAGAACAAAGCCAGCAAGGCGATCATCAGGCGCCGCATCATGATCAACTCCTCTCCAGGTGAGTCAGGTGGGGGCCCAACCCCAACCCCAAGCAAATGCCCATCTCTGCGTGGGTTCGGGCACCTTGTGATGTCGTTGTCGTCATCAGCCAATTCGAATTGCTCCAATTCATTTCTAATTTATGGCCCAGTTTCGAAGGCGAATGTGTATATTTATAAAGTCATTTCGTATCGTGATGTGGAAATCCTTGTAAATCAAAGAATTCGCTTGCCTTTGCAGTACCCTTTCGGCCGGACCAGGACACCGACGTTCCCTGCCCCTTCACCGATTTCTGCTTCCATGGAGGCACCTGCAGGATGATCAAGGATATGAACCTGTTCTACTGCCGGTAAGTGTAGCTTTAAATATTTATTCATTGCTTTAAATCATTAAAAATATATTTTACTTGAGTATTAGTACATCTCAGTTTCTCTCTGTGCACTCGCACTCGTATCCTGTCACAACTGCCAGCTAGTTTCCAACTGGCAACTGATCCCAAAACTCAAGTGGTTCACTTGATAAACCTCTCATGTGACAGCTGATAAGACGCCAGCACCCTCGCCTCTAAATATACACACAGATCTTGTAATATTTTGGCATCGCATTACACGCTCCAAAGACCGGCACTCCGGAGAAGAGAAACCCGGAGAGGGATGCAATTAAAAGGCCACAAATTTCGTGGAGAGAACTCCACAAAGGCCCACTTGCATCCGTGTGTTTCTCTCTTTTTTTTTGTTGTGTATGCAATGTGAATAATGTCTTTCAGCGCCTCGTTTTATCTGGCGGAGCGAGGGTACACCGCCACACACTCGATCCGAAGCGAAACGAACCGATCCCGATCCCGATTTCGAATCCGATTCCGACCCCAAAAAAAAGCGCATCGCTTTCGCTACCCTTGCGGGAAAATTCATTTCCATTTCGATGCCATAAACTTTCCCTTTTTTTTTTTGTTTTTTGCTAAAAATCGTTTCATGCCACACACTTAATTTGTTCGATTTTTTGTTGTTGTTTTTGTGTTTATATTTTTGACCGGATCCCACGAGTGGTCAAGCGAATGCTGCACCACAGTTCAGGGCCATTTCAGTGCGCCATATTTTCCACCAGTTTTTGTGTATTTTATACATCGTATACACAAATATTATATTATATATTGAATATTGAATTCGAAGTGAACTAATTGGACTCTCAACCTCTTCTTTTCTGCCTACCTTTCAGTTGCCAAGGCGGATACGTCGGCGAACGTTGCGAGAACATTGGGCCCGACAGTACGTACAGCAATAGTAATCCCGAACCACCTTGCACACGTTTTCAAGGAGGTTATTACTGCTAAAATAGGCACTTCTATAGCATCGATTGTTTTACGTCGAGTCAATCGCGAGTTATCCGCAAAACCGATACCGAAACTTGAAATCAAATTAAACAAACCGAACTCAGTGCCCATACCAAAACAATGAATAAATCATAAAGTATAAAATAATAACTCAGCAGATCTACAATCAAAGTAAAGTAGAGAAAAAGGCAACCAACGGAATTCCCATTCCCACTTGCACATTTCACCAATATCCTTTCAATTACAGAAGAAGCTTTCTAAAAATTAAAACGCTGAATAAAAGAAAGTGAAATAAACCAAATATAGTTGATAAAGCGAAACACACACACTACACACACTATTACACAGACAGAAAGTACAAATACAGTATGCAGAATTGGACCTTAAATTAAATGAAACATGAAAATCCTACCCTCCCAACCTCCTACCCACTCCACACTCCATCATACCCAGTCACTTTGAAAACGGCGAACTACAAGTTTTATTAGAGATCACATTCCAAAAAGAAACAAAGTAAGGTCTTACAAACAACAACAACAACAACAAAGAGTAAACAAATCAAAAGATAAATAAATAACTAACAAAGTTTTTCGTAATACCTAATAATATTTATTATGCTAAACTAAAAGCGTTTTAAGAGCAATCAAAAGCAAAACGAAAACGACAAGAGTAACGAGAATAATCAAATAAATACGAATAAAAACAAAGGGTGCTATAGAAGGTTTATTTTAAATAGTGTTTACATAGGAACTTAATTTAATTTCAAACTCACTCATCACACACAACTACACACGCCTACACCAACCAGTAAATGTATAAAAGAAAACAGCAAAACAAAACAAAATTATTAAGCAACGTGGACGGACGGACAAGGGACTCGCGGACAAACGGACAGCGGACACCGGACAAGGGACTACCTATCCCCCCCACTAAAGTACTGAGAAACTTGTAAACTTGTCGAATCGTTCAATTGGCTCTCAGCCCACGTTTACTCACCTCACACACGCGCATTACAATGTCAATATGAATATCAACGATTAATAACGATAACCAATCAACAGAGGCTCTCTTAAGTTAGTTACACGAATACACACTCACACACACGCATCAAGAAGCAAGCAGCAAAAATTTGCAACAAATGGCGACTTGGCCACACTGAAAACCACACTCACCCAGAAAAAGCAATGTACTGACTCCACCAATTGAAACGGGAACTGAATTTTGTTTTGTTTTCGATCTAATTTTTGTAGTTTGCGAATAATAAAAAACGAACAACATTAAAAACAACTTTCCAAACGAATAACAACCAATATAATACATTTATGATTTGCAATTAATTTTAGTTCGTACTCGTTATTAGACATTAACACTTGGCTGTAGATTTTGACAATCCACAAAAAAGTACCCAATTCGAATCAAACAAAAACAACCAACAATTTCATTTTGCTCCCTTGTTTACTTTTATTTGGTGATTGTTGTTTTTTTTTTTCGTATTTTTTCTTTTGACTAATCTCCTGCGTTTCCTGCGATTTGGGTAACTCTGTTCACTTATTACTTCCTTAGTCTTGTGCTCGTCTCCTTCTCAAACAACAAATTCCACAGCAAAGAGAAATCTTGAGCTGAAGACCTTATCTTTACCATCCTTTGCATGTTGGAATTCTATCTTTCGAGAGCGCAATTTAATGCTTGTAGTTGCCCCCTATTTGTGGAAATGGTTTTAGCCAGCTTTTAGTTGAAAGTAAATGAAAATCAAACGAGAAAATAAACTGGAAGATTAATTTTTAATTTTATTTATAATTTAATCTCTTCACAGATATTTTGTTGCAATCTACGGCCAAATACATACCTTAAATAACGACTATTAATGCATAGAATTTTGTTTTATTATTTTTATGATTTTTATAAACAAAACAAAAAAAAAAAGAAAAAAGAAAACATAAGATCGATTGATTCCCCTGCACTCCAAGAACGGCGACAATTGTAATTTTTTACTGTATTTAAAAAATTAGAGAATTCGTTGCACCGGCAGACCAAGCCCAATCCCATCACCGTTCTACAGATCAGTTGAAAACTACAAAAACATATCCGAAACGAAACGAAACTGAACCGAAAACCGAAAACATTTCAAAATTCCGTAGAGTTCCCAGAGTTCCTTCTTCCCCAAAAAGCGATAAGTTCCAGATCCAGACTGACTTTAGCTACGTTTGAATATTTTAAATATGAAACCTAAACTGAATTTTTATTAAATTAATTGTACGAATGGAAAACTATCGAAAATATTGAAGTTTACTGTTTGAAAGCATTATCGATTCGACCCTGACACTGACACTGTTGCGCTTTTGTTGTTGTACCATAGACATATACATATACATATACATATATATACTTATATAATGAGAACAAAGGTTGACACGTAGCCGAGAACTTTGTAATAAATCCTGTAAATATCTCTCGTTTTAACTAACGTTAAGTTTTGTGTACATTTCAAACTAAGTTAATGCAGCCCTTCTTTAACCATAATTTATTGTATTTAATTACACTTAAATTAAACGTAACTTTAGCCTTAAGACCAAACACACACACACACACACAACTTAAACACACACACACACTATAAAGCTACTTAATTTCGAAATACTATTTTATTTGTCCTCGTTTATGATTTGCGCTAAAACAAAAAAAGAAACAATGTAAAATGCAAATTTAGTTATTTTTTTCGCAATGTGTATGTTGACATCAGTTTGTATGGCGAAGAGATTATTTTTAGTTATCTTTTAAGTGGCAAATTTTTTATATATTTAATTATTGAAAGATTTATACCAAAAATACCATGTAAAGTTTAATATTAATTTAAAACAAAAACCATTAAACCAACACAAAAAACGAAACAAAACAAAAAAAAAAAAAAAAACAACAAAAAAGAAAACAAAACAAAACGATTCATAAGAAAAAAATTTAATTAAAAACTTGCAAATAATTCACATTTTACAAAACATCAATTTGCTTTTTGATTTGGTTCTGATTTCCTCCTGTTCCTCGTTTCTCTTCTGTGGCTTCTGTTCTCCTTCGTTTATGATTGATTTTAATTGATTTCACGGAAGGTTTTCCCCTATATTTTCCCCATTCGCTTTCGCTAATTTTCCCCACACAACAACAAACAAACTCTCAGAGCGCAGAGCCGCTAAAGCTCTGTGGAAACGAGCCCGGTTTCGGATTAAGTGCAAGGAATGACGAGGATTTATATTTCGGCTAAATCAAAGTCTCCTCTTTTGGTCTCTCGACAGGCGGCGGCCGTTACGACACTTGATGGACTTGAGGAATCGTCTTCTTTAGCCGAGCCACGCGGAAATGCTTTTGTGCACAAAAATGGATCTCATGCTTAGTTTAAGTTAACCGGAGGATGGCCAATAAAATTCTGAATTTGTTGCAAATAAGAGTTTGGGGTGTTTTCTTTGCAACAGAAATACAAAATATAACCGTTTATTTTTTAAATTGCCCGCCAACTTTGAAAATCGATGGGTAGCATTGAATGTGCTTGGGCAGCACTGGTATCTCCAGCGTATCGAGCGTTTGGCGTTGCCAGAATATATATGGACCGATATCGATAACATCGATACATTTAGTTTTAGTCCGACGGTCACACTGCCAGTATTGCCTTTCAAAAGTAGCGGCGTTTTTCTGCAAAATTTATCAAGAAAGCGAAAATATTGTTCTTTTCGTATATTATAAGTATATAAATAATAATGTCGACTGCCCAGGCAACCAAGAACTGCATCACCCTCAAGGGCTCAGCCCAGATAATCGTGGAATATCTAAGTAAGTTGAGCTTGGCATCGAAAGCCCGCGTTCAATGGCGTCGTCCCTTCTTTTCATGGCTTAAATAGAGTACGGTATCAACTCCATCCTGTTCCAAAGAGGCATCTATCCGGCGGAAAACTTTGACAGCACCCAGCAGTACGGACTTACCATCCTGATGTCCAAGGATCCCAAGATCACGACTTTCCTGCAGAATGTGCTCAGCCAAACGGAAGGTGAGTGGGGGGCAGTCCAAGTGTGCTTTTAAAGGGTCATCAAACAGGTTGCCCCGTGCTTGCAGAGTGGCTGGCCAAGAACATGATCAACAAGATCTCCATGGTCATCACGAACGCCCACAGCAAGGAGGTGCTCGAGTGCTGGGACTTCAAGATGCAGGCAGAGCTGGGCGACGGCGACACCAGCGATCCTGCCAAGCTCACATCCACCAAGGAGCTGTCACGCATCCAGAACGAGATCCGAGATGTAATGCGCCAGATCTCGGCCACCGTCAGCTATCTGCCGCTGCTCGACTGCATCTGCACCTTCGATGTGATGATCCACACGCTGAAGAACACGGAGCTGCCCGCCAAGTGGGACGAGACGGGAGCCATTGTCATCCAGAATGCCCAGGCCGTGCAGTTGCGCTCCTTCTCCACGGGCCTGCAAAAAGTGGACACCGTGGTCAACTACAAGATGAGCTCCTAGAGTAAAGCAGTTTTTTCTAAATATTTATTCATTTCTATATATTTACAAGTAGTTTAAAACCAAAAAAGTAACGTAACATATTTGAGAGTTGCATTAAAAGCCAGTTGTGAAAAGCTAAAAGTTGCTTAAATAGTTTGGTAGCTCGCCCGACTGCGCTAGTGCCGCGACCGCTTCGTATCGCTTTGTGTATTTCAAATGCCATCTGGGGGACGAAACAGAGAGAGAGGAGCTGGAGTTAGTGGAGCTGGCGTTTGTCTGGGTGAGATGCATGCAGGGACAGAGACAGCGGAGGTGGCCAACTCACTCTACCTATCCTAAGCAGCTAAGCGCGCTTAGTCGTCAAGTCTGCGTTTGCGTCTGCGACTAGCTCTAGTCTGTACCGAAGTATTTCTGTCCAAAGTGATTGGGCGCCACCGGGTGCAGCTCGGAGGTGAGGATCTTCAGCTTGGGGAACGCATTCACCACAGTGCGGGCGGCCATTGGCGTACAGAACAGATTCGAAAGGATGATGCAGCTCTCGGGCACACCGTGCTCGCGCAGGACATTGACCGCCTGCAGCACCGTGTTGCCCGTGGACATGATCGGGTACATTAACAGCACTTGCCGACTGCCAATGTCGTCTGGGAAGCGGGCATACACCACGCGCGCCTCGTGGGTGTTGGCATCCGACTCGACCAGGATCTTGCCGATACGAATCGATCTGCAACAGTCCCGAAGACCCTGCTCCATGGCCTCGCCAGAGCGGATGATGGACACGCCACAGTTGCCGGAGCGGTATTTCAGGCCCTCGTAGATGGCACCCGTGGGCGTCTCCACGTCGCAGTGAGTGTAGGGCAGCTGGTTAAGCGACTCCTCGATCACCAGGCGGATCAGTCGGTCGGCGTAGAACTTGAAGTCGCTGCGTGTGGTGTTCCTGCAGAGGAAATTTGATATTGTAGTTGCCTTAACCTCGCCTTGTCCGTCACCTACTTATCGCGGAGAATGGTCAGCAGCTCGGCCACCTGCGAGTTGCACTCGAGCAGCTTTAAATTGCTACCATACTCGGCCAGGATATCCTCCGCCGTGGCAGCGGCCACGACTGCGTGCGTGGGTGTTCTCAGCTGTTGCTCCGCTGGGCGCTCGCGTTCAGTCTCCGCTTGTTGCTCCTGGGGTGCCTGCTCTGTGGTGCTGCCCTCCTCGGACTGGGAGCCATTGCTGCTGGGCGAGCCGGTGCACATGATTCGCTTCTCTAATTACAATTGGTCCTGTACAAATTAATTAAGTTCTGCGGTGGTCTTTGTTGTTCTAGCGCGTGCTGACAGTGAGACCGTATATTCTTTAAGAATCCCTAATTAAAGTATCGTTTAAAAAACAGCGATACCATCTTAAGTGTTAATTTATAAAAATTAAGAATTTTTAAATGAAATGAACTAATTGAAGTTATACATTTAAATTAATTGCATAATATTTGAAATGTTTCTGCCATCGATTGTGCGATACTATCGATATGCCGTCGACGATGACAGCTCTTTAGTAGCCACCGTCTGGCCACTCTAGCACATCACCTCGTGTTCACTCGCAAACAAAGAAAAAGTGCATTTTAATTACTGATTACTGCATTGCGATTAGGCAGTGGCGAACAATTGCGTACTTGGCGGAGCAACAAATTGCAGGGCACGCGTGGGCAGAGCAGTTATCGCAGCGAGCGTGTGTTTGAGAGCGGCACAAGTGCGTGTTGGTGCGTGTCTCCCGTGCCCGTACGGGTGTGCGTGTGTGTGTATTTGTATTGCTTTTGCCATTAACTAATAAACAATAACCTTCGGGGCCACGAAAGCTGCCCCGCGCCTGTTCCGTTCTGTTCTATTCCGACCCGCGGCGAGCGAGGAGCGGAGACTAAAATAAAACGCTTCCGCAAGCGCCGTGCCTCGCGAGGTGGAGCGCCAGCCAGCCAGCCATCGAGCAACCAGCACCAGACTAGGGCACTTCCACAGGCCAGATCGCACAAATGGCGGACGTGAGTGATCCCAGCGAGCTGTTCGACCTGGAGCTGCACGAGGACGACAAGGCCAGGGACTCTGACGACGACAGGATCGAGCTGGACGACGTAAGCGAACAACTGCGCAGCAATAATTGCACCCACACCACCAGCAGCCGCAGAAGCAGCAGCAGCAGTTGGAATTTTCCCCTTTGTTTACCTTTTCGCTTTGTCTGCGAGTTTTCCTGGCGGGCGTCTGGGCATCCCAGACCCCCATCGCCCTTGCACCCCTCCCCCGCTATATTTCCCATATCCACAGCCCGCAAACTCGGCTTATCTGCTGCGCAAAAGTCCGCATCACCGCGACTCTGGCGTCATCCAGCAGCACGTACACTGCACTGCACATTCATAATACGGAAATTTACCCACGACTGCGGTGCGAGATCCCTCCTTACGAAACCCGTCGTTGGGCAATCGACAGGCAGAGTGTGTGTCCTTCAAAATAATCAGTACCAATTACCCGCCACACTCCATGGAAATATATTGCAACAACTGCGGAGCGTGGCAGAGGTAGAAGATAGAAGGAGGCAGGGAAGCGGAATGAGAAAGAGGCTAAACTTCCACTTAGAAAACGAAATTCGTTATCAGCGGACAATATAAAATTAGAAAATGAGAAAAACCTCAGGCGCTGATAACGAATAAGGGGTCCCACAACAAATTCTATGTAGGAGAGTGAGAGAGCGACCGATCGCCCGTTCCAGATCGTGATCGCGATCGTGTCGAGCGGTAATATTTTTCGGGTTCCCCCATATAGAACCAGTTGCAACTGCACGCTAGGAAATAATATAAAGTCCACTGAACGCAACTTGATCGGTTTTATAGATCGGTTATCTATATTCTTTAGAAAGCAAACTTCCTATTTCGTAATCTTTCGGGGATTTTTTCACTTTCTTTTATTTTGGGTACTTTGGATGTGTGTAGTTTAAACTTAAGGCTTGAACTCCTTTCTTAAAGTTATAAAAATTCTGAATTTATAAAAGAAATTTGGTAGATGATTGTACTTTTTCATGAAAGAATTATGAGCAATACTGTAATGGGAATTATTAATCTTTAAAGTCCCCTCTGCACCCAATGAGTATGACTTCATTTCTTCCTCTGCACGGTTTATATTTCTTGGGTTTTCAATGCACCGTTTTGAAGGGGGAATCCACATGGCTGGTGGAGAGCGAGATACCGATATTGCTGCTCGTGTTCTTATCATATCGCATCGCCCCCCTTTTCGGCGGCTTGTCAAATGTGATTTACGCAAGCGCACACACCCCCCAGAGCAAGCACCCGCCGCCAGCCATCGAAGCCGTGTGAGCGCTATAAATTATGATGGATTCGTTAATTGGAATCCACCGCCAACGCTGACGAGGTGAACCAGTTTTTAATGTGCTGACGAGAGCGTCAAGATGTTGGCGATGGCGATGCCGCCATTCAATTGAACTTTAGTCAAAAAATATTCTATACACATTTTAGGTATGACGAGAGTGGCGGCGTTGCTGCTTCTTCTTCATCATCCGCTGCCCCTAACTGTGGCCTTCCCCCGGTTGGAGCAACAGCGTCTGGGGGGGACAGATGGAGGCGGAGGCAGTGCCAGCATTGCCGGCAGATTATTTGGCATTGTTCCGAGTTCTAAATTTAGTTTGTCATTAAAGAAAAGGTGTGTGTGCGTGCGGAAAGTATATCTCTGTGTGGAATTCTCTCTTTCCCCATCTTTCCCTCAGTGTGTGTTTGTGCAGAATGCTAAATGTGTGTGTGTGGGCAGATCGAAAGGGGAGAAATTCACTGGCGGTGGCACAGACTCCAAAGGCAGCCAATACCCAATACCAAGAGCGTGCCCCTTTGACTGTCCCAAGACGATCTCTCCCATTCATCGGAATCTCCCTCAGCTGAAAATAACATTTTGGGGTAGCACCGAATATGGGAGAAGTTTCTTATATTCAAATTATTTAATATTACTTTTATAGACCCATATATTCTTTACTACTAATTTAAATTATTTAAATCAGAATTACAACTGACTGACTGATCAATGATCATTTATCGGCCGTAAATTATATATTTTTTTAAATTTGAATGACGCGTTAATTTGTTTATATTAACATAAAATTAAAATTTATTGCAAATAATCATGTTTTTAAAATTTAAATTATAAAGATACATAATTTATAAATATTTATACCATTATTCCTAATTCCCCGCTCAATGAATTTTATTATTAAATATTTTTATAATTAATGAGATATCTAGTAAGGCTTAACAAAATACTTATTTTTAGTTTTTAAAGGTCTATAAAAATGTGATAACTTTGTATATTGGAACCTAGCCTTTTGTCAATTAAAAAGTCATTAAGCCGATCATTAGGAAATGTAATTACTAACTTTGTAAAGATACTTCCCATTACAAAAATATACCCAGAACGCAAAACATTTTATGAATCTGAAAGAAAGATAAAAAGGGTCTCTTAACAGAATTTTTGTTTTCAAGTATTTAATGATAAGATCAAGAGCATTCCATCTTCGTTGCTCCCGGCTGCTGGTGCTGTGTAACTTTCCCTTCTGCTGTTCGGGTCTCAAGTTCGTAATAACTATGATTAATTGTTGATTTTTCGCATACATATTCCTATAGCAGTTATGCTTACTCACACTTACAACCGTCTCCGCCTCTCTTCTCGTTCGCAGGTTGACCTAGAACCGGAATTGTGTATTAATCTGCACCAGGAGTGAGTAATACCCCAGCAATGTCGCTGGAGGACAACGACTTTACTGTGATTTTCTCAGAATGAGGGAGAGATACGCGCGCGGTCCGATCATATAGGGAAAGAGGGAGGGAAGGGATCGCAGTCCATCCGGACTTCCTCGTCGAGTAGATAAAGTCGGGGGAAGAAATGAGCAGCCTAATTGCCAATTATCAGCTCAGACCTTGTGTTTGCACATTGCGAAAGCGCGTTGACAGTGTTAACATCTGATTGATTCAGCTCCGAAAGCCTGATCCCGGACAGACGCGCACTACCACTTCACTGGGCGGTGATAACGAACGGACAACAGAGAGAACAGACGGACAAGAGGGGTTGCACAGAAGTGTTTACAACTGGTATTGACTACCAACAAGCTGTCACCCGGCCTCTGGCCGCCTCTTCAATGAGCCAGCTAGTTCCATGTGTAAACAAGACTCACGGCAAACACTCGACAGCCGTGATGGAGGAGCTGCTGGGCTGGCTGCCTGGTGGGCGGATGGAGGAGCACAGGGTGCCAGGGAGGTGACGATTGGCGCGTGCACGCCATGGGATTTATTTATAGCACGTGGGCTGCTCCTTTCCCACGCTAGCCAGCCAGTCAGACCCAGACGCAAACACCCAACACAGAGGACAACAATTAACTAACTCCCCAATTCTCTATTTTCCCTAATCCCCTAATCAGTGCCGAGGGACAGGAGACAATACAGCTCTCCGAGGAGAATGTCAATCCGGGCAAAATCAAGCTGGGTCCTAAGGACTTTGAACTCAAGAAGGTTCTTGGCAAAGGTGGCTATGGCAAAGTATTTCAGGTAGGTGTATCCTTACATAAAGATCCTCAAACTGTTTATAACTTAACGTTTCAACTGTTTACAGGTGCGCATGACCGCTGGACGAGATGCCAACAAATACTTTGCGATGAAGGTGCTCAAGAAGGCATCAATAGTGACCAATCAAAAGGACACAGCGCACACACGCGCCGAGCGCAATATTCTAGAGGCAGTCAAGGTTAGATTCGTGAACGATAACTCCCTCAAAATCAAACTTATGTGGAATCCTTTTGCTTTATTTTAGCATCCTTTCATAGTGGAGCTGGTCTACGCCTTCCAGACGGACGGAAAATTATATCTTATCCTTGAATATCTAAGCGGCGGCGAGCTGTTCATGCATTTGGAGCGCGAGGGCATCTTTCTCGAGGATACCACTTGGTAAAGTCATACATATTCTAAGGAATAATAAATTAAAGCCTAATATTTACCATTTTACTCACAGCTTCTATTTGAGCGAAATCATTTTGGCCCTGGGCCATCTACACAAACTGGGCATCATCTATCGCGACTTGAAGCCCGAGAACATTCTTCTGGACGCCCAGGGACACGTGAAGCTCACCGACTTTGGTCTGTGCAAGGAGCACATACAAGAGGGTATTGTCACCCACACCTTCTGCGGCACAATTGAGTACATGTGCGTGCGCCCTTCGGCCTTTTATCCTTATCGCGAGCGAGGTCTAGAGAATCCTTAGCTGACATATGCTTTCTTTGCTTGCAGGGCACCTGAGATCCTGACCAGAAGTGGCCATGGCAAAGCAGTGGATTGGTGGTCACTGGGCGCTCTCATGTTCGACATGCTTACGGGAGTGGTAAGCTATCAACTTGTATTCTTGAAGTCCCTTAATTAAATCCTGGTTCCCATAGCCACCCTTCACCGCCGAGAATCGAAAGAAGACCATCGAGACCATTCTGAAAGCCAAGCTCAATTTGCCAGCCTACCTCACACCCGAAGCCAGGGATCTGGTGCGTCGCCTGATGAAGCGCCAGGAACCCCAGCGCCTGGGCAGCGGTCCCGAGGATGCGGCGGCTGTTCAAATACATCCATTCTTCAAGCACGTCAACTGGGACGATGTCCTGGCTAGACGCCTCGAGCCTCCAATTAAACCGCTTTTGGTAAGTTGCCTCCCTTTAATTATTTTTTTACTTTTTGCTAATTTGAAATTGTTTTTTAATCAAACAGCGGAGCGAGGACGATGTCTCACAATTCGATACGAGATTTACAAGACAAATACCAGTGGATTCACCGGATGATACAACGCTGAGCGAAAGTGCCAATTTAATTTTCCAAGTAAGTTGAGAATATTTTGGGGTGGGGATGTGTATCGGAAGGAAAAGTTAGATTTGTTATATCCTCAAAAATCGAAAATATCGTCAGATATCATTTATTAATTTTTATCTTTATCCGATTATAATGGCTCGATTAGTGTGGACAATGTGATGAGGAGTAGTTATAATTCCTAAATAGGACATTCACTGATACATCCGATTGTTGGGCGTCCGCTTTGCTATCGCGTGTTATCGAACTGGGCACGCAGCACGACGGGAAGTCCTCCGAATGGAGATCAAGCCGCAATATTCCCTTATTCAGCTCTGGCGAAAGTGTGTAGAGTTCTCATCAAAATTAGAAATTATAAGTGACCTTAGGTGAGGTTTTCGTATACGGTTTTTTGTTTTCAATGAGTAAGGGCAGTGGTAATTGACTTGAAGAAGGCTCATACACATTTTACATTGCTCAAAGTGATAAAAAAGAGAAAAATAAATAAAGAAAACAAGACGCAGAGTCGTAGGGCGATCTCAGGGTGGCCGGCATGTCGCTGATCATCCGAACACGCCGATCTTTAAGCTCTGTCGATGCTGCTCATGATCTTTGTTTTCCGGGTATTTTATTGGCAATTTTATATCCGCAAGGTTGTTTATTTGTTAATATTTTTGTTATATAAAACAGATTATCGATCACACACATATCAATCGTGCAGTATCGATATATCCCTATTCAAAACTCAACTGCCTGGCCCAAGACTGAGAATCCGAGCTTGTCATTTTAAGCCTTATCCTTGGAAGCTTCAATACTTTTTTTTCAATATTCAATCCTTGATTTTATGACACCAAATAACAAAGAAAATCGCACTTTTCCTTTACTTTTGCATTTTTAGTCATTAATGGGATCTCTTTTTGGGTTTTGGTTTCACAATAAATACTTTACTAAACATTAGACTAAGCCTAGGCAAGGGGTTCCTTTGTCCTCAGCGATAGTCAGCACCGCATTGAAAGTGGGGCTCCTTGAGCGGTATACCAGTGGGTCCGTCCGTGAACTCGCAGAAATTCAGGCCTATACGCCGGAAGGGATGACACTTGCTCTTCGGATTGCCCCACTTGCCTCGATATGTAAGCCAATCGGGCACCAATGAGCGGCCTGTTTAAGATTCAAAAAGAAACAGATTAGAGTTGACATTTGAAAGAATATAAAGTGAAATCACCTACCATAGGATCTCACATTCTCATAGCTTATGTCCACGGACTTCCAAGTGTTCCAAGGCGTTCCAAATCCGTTGATATCGTACAGACGGGCCACCTTAACAAATCTATGCTTCCCAGGCGCCGTCCACAGACCATGAGAGCCCTTGGCAGCAAACAGAACCGGATGGTTCTTGAATGTCGTCACAGTTTTGGGAAAGTTTGGACGCTGCAGGATTCCCTTGCGTGTCTCCTGGCGGCGGAACTCAAAGGAGCCCGTCAGTCGATTGTAGCTATAATAGGCTCCCGCATCGTGGGCCGACACATACATGGCCTGCGGCTCTGCATCCCCATTAAAGTACAGGCTCATGTGCTCCCAATCTCCCACATGACTGCCAATATCCTTGCGATTGCCCAAGCAATAGCCATAGACGGCGGGGAACGGAATCCTTCCGAGGGGACCCAGACTCACGGTGCACATGGTCTTGCCCTGGCTGTAGGGATAGAACATCCAGTAGGTGACATGGAAGCTTGGCAGCTTGCCTTTTCCCGTATTCGCCTCCTGTTCGGGGGCCTTGCCAATGCTGTTGTCCTCCAGATTGTCATCGGGATCTGTACCGCCGCTGAACTTGACATTGTCCGCCAGATTGGCTATGAAGTTGTTCACCGGCACAGCAGTCTCTGGCTCTGACTGCTGCTCCTGCTCTGTTTGGGGCTTCTGGGTGGGCTCCATTACCAGCTCCTCGTACTCGTTGAGGGGATTGTACTTGGGATTCACTGGAACTTCTCGTTTTACCCGTTGGAAGAGCGGGAAAAGTCTTGAGGATCTCCGAACGGTGTCATTGCGTTCCTCAAGGGGATCAATGGAGACAGGAATGTAGGGACCCCGCGTGCTGACTGGCGGAGCAGAGTGCTGCGGCGGCGGAGGCGGCACAGGTTGCTCCCTTCTCGTTGGACACATGGTGACCACACCATAGATGGGCACCGGTTTTTCATTGGGATTCCGCCCGTACAGAAACGAGTTTTTGTTCTCCAACAAATCCTGTATCTCGCCGTTTGTGACCAAATGGGACCTGGTTGAGTATTCGCTAAAGGGCACTCCCGGTCGGAAGCTGCTGTCCTTGTCCATGGGATGAACGTACTGCAGGAACTCCTCCACGCCCAGTGGCATGAATTTCTCTTCGGGCGCCAGCCAGACGATGGGTGCCCACTGCTTAATCAGCCGATCGACTGCAATTAGAGATGGAAAGGCCCAGATAGGCACGGTTAGCATGGCTTTGCCGGGTTTTTAATTAGCCCCATTTCCAGTGCCCGTCCCCGTGAAATTACGCTCGGCCATTGGCCGCCGCCACCCTGGCTCTTTGGGACTGGCGCTCTGATTTTCGTTTTCAAATTCAAGTGTAATAAATTTCACTTTCACGATTGAAGCGCGGACTTGGCTAGGTGCTGGCCATCTTCTCTTCCCCCTCCCCCGCCTCTGGCTATGCCTCTGCCTATGCCCTTGTCTTTGTGTTGTGGCTAATTCGCAAACTGTAATGCCACCCTGAGTTGGTGGGCTCCAACTACCGGTGTTCCATATAAAAACGCACTTTGCTTGGTGGTCTGATGATGAGGCGGCTCCCCGACCATAAGCGAGTGCCAAACGATCAGGTCGTTCAGCTAAAACGTGACGGAAATTTCTCTTGGTCATGTGAGTTTAGGCGCAATTAGGGAGAAGCGTAAAAAGGGGGAAGGAAAGCGACATTACACGGCCCTAAATGGGTTGTCATAAATTGTTCTAAACTATTTTCAAGCTTTTTCAAAATAAATTTACATTTTAATTAAAGCCTAAATCGAAGCTTTAATAGTTCAAAATGTATGCTTAGATTAAGTATCTAAGAAAAGATATAGATTTTATTTACAAGAAAAGAAACTAACTTTGGCACTCCGAAGTTTGTATACCCTTACAGTTCCCAATTGATTTATGAAGAGGGGTATAAAAAATATAATAACTGAGTTAACTGAGCTTTTGACTAAAATTATAATACCCTCAAAAGGGTTATTTAAATTTAAATATTTATCCATTAGTTTATATAATTTATAAAGCTTAAAAATTTAAATATTAGAAGCTTGCAAATGAGTTAAGGAGTCAGTTCCGACCCTATAAACCATTTTAAAACCAATATTTTAATAATAATAATAATTTAAAATGGAAGAAATTTCGCTGGCACCCTAACTCAAAAAAGGGTATCGGTATAAGCAATATCCATTGCAGCTGCTGCTGCACTTGCTGATTGTTGTTTTTGTTGATGCATACCTACTTCTTTATCTAATGGCGTTATATGTGCAAATTGCATTGTTGGTTGTTGTTGCTGCTGCTGCTGTTGCTGTTGCTGCTGTTGTGGCTCGAAAGAGGGGGCTTCATGGCTGTTGATGTGATTGCTGTTGATATTGCTGCTGGTGTTGTCGATGAAAGTGGCAGCCATGCCACCATCCAAAGTTGCATTCAAGAGTCTTGTGCTGTCTAATGTTGCTGCAGTATCTCCTGGTTGCTGCAGTAGTTGCTGCGGAGGTTGTTGCAATGCCGTCGCCACAGTTAGCCACGCTGCCAGGCAATGCAGCAACGAAAGTGAATTTATTTTCCACTGCTTGGACATTATTTTACGTGCTTAATTTTGGCCTGCAATGATTTTCCTTTGCATCCAGCTGGCCTTTATGGTTTTTTTTGTAGAGTGTGCTCTGTGCTGTTTGGTGTCTTTGCCCAGTGCAAGTTTGGGTTTTCGCCCGCCAGAGTCACGACGTCGACGACGAACAAAGCGTGTCTTTTGTGTTATCGGCTGCTATTATTATTTTCACACATTTTTACACTTTTTTTTACGTACATTTATTATGGTTTTATTTCTTTTATTGGCTGGTTTCTTGGGTGCTTATGCAATCTCGTTTAAGTGAATTTAACACTTCCGCGCACAGTTTGGCGAGCACTGGTGGCACTCAGCTGGCGGTGTTGGTTCTGGTCTTGTCCCACTTTCGGTTGAAACCCGCTCTCCGAGTGAGTCTTGTGCACGTGCACGCCTGCGCGCCGAGTTTCTCTCGCTCTGCAGCTGGTCTCGTTGCCCTTCAACTGGTTTTTTGGGTTTACAAGCTGCCTGATAGCAAGCTACCAACACAGCTACCAGCTCTAGCTGTAATCCCCGATAGCCCTGAACCCACCAATGACGCTGCACATTGGCCCAGAATCAATGTCATCGGTGAAAATTGCCCCGCCTGTTTTTTACGACCTGCAAAAATGCTTGCTGATCCGGGCTCTCCACCACCACCAGACACAGGCCTTTCTCCAGCTCTGGCACACGAAAGTCACTCCCAGTTCACGTTCAGTTTCTTTCTTATTCCGCTGCTCCGCTGTGCTGACTGGTGTCCGAACGCTTTGAGCGCTTCTGCGAGACTGGCAATGAGTGGAGGAGCCAAGTGGCCAAGTGGCTGGATTTGGCTCGATCGCTTTTGGCTCCCTCCTGCTTTTTGTTTTATTTGTTTACAAACATGCGGAGTGCCAGTGCGAGTGCGAGTACCAGTGCTGTGACCAGGCTGAGTCGAACGACCCTTGAGCTGTTTTGGTGGTAAGCTGTGTAAAGTTTGTTTTGGTTATGGGTTTATGGGATTAGTAGGCTAAATGTCTTGTTAAATATTGCCTAATTAAGGTTGCAGTGGAGTAGCTGAAGCGCCGGAAATGTGTGCGGGTACATTTACCTTTTGCGATTGAAGGTGTGAATAGGTTTTAAAAGTTTTTTACTAAAACTAGAACCTGTATAGAAATCTAACTGGAAAGTAAGACAAATTTTTATTATAACTTCGTTACATCAACTATTAATTTTAATAATTCTCAAGCCTTAAAAACTTAAGGAAAAGCTAAAATTAAAAGATATTACAGCACATAAATAAAGCTGTTTATTTCATAATTAATTAAACTCTAATCCAAACTCTTCAGTGGCTTAAAAAATGTAGTTCTTAACAACGATTTCACTTTGTCGAGCCAGAGGCAAAGCTATTTTGTTACCAAACTTTCTTACCAAACAGTTTTGAGCCAAACTGTGCGGTTATCTCATCGCTTGAAGTTCTGCTAATTGCCTAAGCTCGAAGCCAGAGATCAGACTGAGAAAGCACTGCAAGAAACGGATTCAATTTGCACCTGATTCAGGTCCAAACTGGGATTCAATTAGAACTTTATTAACGGATAATTGCACACTTTCTCAGAGCGCTTCGCTCGCTTGGCGCCCCTCGAATTATGATGATGATGCCGCTTGCTTTAGTGGGTCAGCGCTCGATCGCAGTTCCAATTAGCGAACGCGGTGCTCTCACGTACATTTCACCTGGCAGCGACAGGTGGGGGGGAATAGTGCCTCCCCTCCTGATGGCGTCACGCATTTCTGTCCAGCCTCCGTGCCGGGGGAATTTACACACGGCAGCCGCCGGCGGCTGCTTAATTTTGCTTTGCTTTTAATTATTTTATTGCATTTGCCGGTGGATTTCGTCAAGACAAATATATTTAATTAATGTCTCTCCACGCCGGCGCTGGGAAATTATGTAAAATGTGTTACATGGAGCAGCCAGAGCCAGTGCCCGGGGCTTGCATAATCCCTGCTCCGCCAACTACTGCGGGGGGGCAGTATTAGTATGCAAGACGGGAATCGGATCGACACCAACACTGGACTGGACTCTGACTAAGCGAGTGTGTAGTTGCCCCGATCCGATTCCAATTGCGCACACGACCGGGCAAGTGGGTCAGGGATTGGGGGGAGAGTCACACTCTAGATGGCAAGCTGGCTCAAGGTTTTCTCATTTCCTTCTTTGTCTTATTTTTGCAGGGTTTCACCTACGTTGCGCCCTCGATACTGGAGGACATGCACCGGGCCAATCGGATGCCCGCGCGCTCCCCCCGACGCACACCACGCCAGCTGCCGGACAGCAGCTTCCGGCTACAGTTCCCATCCGCCAATGCGGGCCCCAATGCCTCAATGGCCATGCATGGCCATCCGCAGCGCTCCGGAATGTTCGCCAGGGCCACGCCACCGCACCACATGCAAACGTTTGCGCCGCGACCATCGCCGGCGCAGGACGAGATGATGGATGTCCAGCAGGGACTGCCGATGGTCTAAGAAGGGCGGCTGGCGCTGGTGCGGTCGCTTCCCATCCAAGCATCCATCCATCCAACCCATCCAACGCATCCCACCAACACCGCCCCCGTTCCCCGACAGAGAAATTGACAGTTACTATTATGACGTATATGATGTGTGTGGAGTGTGGAGGACTTGGCCAAGGATTCGGAATGAACAGGAGCAGGAGGAGGATCAGCTGGAGCAAGAGCAGGAGCAGGAATTGTTGTTTTGTTAAAGAGAGCGTGCTCGGATCGGATTATGATAATGATGATAACAATTATTAGAAGGATCGGGCGAAGAGCGATACACCTAGAGATACTACAGTTAGAGAGAGACATCCACATAAACATATGCTATAGCTATACTATATATATACGACCTAGAGAGATGGCAGGCAAGAGATCGCAGCCGAACCCAGCCCCAACTTATCCGTGTTTATGTATAAATATTATACTTACACTTATGTTTTATATAGGCGAAAAGGTTTACACAATTTAGTTCAAATGTGCACACACACACACACACGCAACACACTTTAATTTTGTTTTAACTCTTGTTTAATCCCTGTAATTGAATGAAAGGAGGGTTCTTCTTCGAGGGATAGATGGAATATGTGTGAGTGAGTGGCTCAACCATAAGCATGGCTAGGAATTGCTCTTCGAGAAGCTTATTTTAAGTGTATAGCGCGGTTTTCCAATTGTTTTTTACATTTTTTTTTTTTTTTTTGCATATTTCGATCACCTTCTTTGGTAGGCATAAAATGTAGAGACTTTAGGTCTTAGGGACAGCAGCAGCAGCAGACACAAACTTAAATGAAATGTAAATTATAAACTAAACTAGAACGTTAACGAAATAAACTAAAGATATAAACTATATAAAGAGTAACAGGTTTCCCCCTCAGCACGATTATAAAAGAAAACAATTAACTTGCTCGCATGAGGGACTTGTCCCTACTTTAATATTGGTTCCATTCAAGCTTTGGATGCTTTTTTGTCAATTTTTTTTAACTAAAGAGAGAAACAAAAATAATACCGCGTACTGAGAAGCTAAGCGCTGCCACAACGATAAGCCCCAAAGGGGGCAGATCTTATGTACTTTGATTATATTCCGTTTCAGTTTCCGCATATATTTTTTTGTAAAGAGAAAAATAGGAAGAAATTACAATTTCAAATATATATAATCAAAAGGTGCTTTGAATTGTTTAAAAAAGACAAGACAACTAAACAAATAAAATCTAAAACAGAAACAAAAAAGAAACGAAAATATAAAGAAAAGCGGAAGAGTGAAGAGGAAAACCCACTATGGAAAATGAAAGCGACTAAGAACCTAAATACTTATAACGGTTATGATGTGTATAAAGAATATTTATATAAACAAAAGAATAAATACCTCAAAAGCAATTATTTTTGTTACACAAACAGCTAAAAACTGTGCGATGCAAATAAAAGAACTTAACAAAGGATTAACTCTACCAACTAAAGTACAGAAACGAAACAGAACTATTACTACAAAATAAAAATCGAGAAATTAGGAAACAACAACAAAAGAGTATATATTAAAAAACAAATATATATATTTTATTCATTGTACACTTACTTTTCTTTCTGTGTTTTTGGTTCTTGTTTTACTGCTAAATGTATTTTGTATTTTTTATTAAACGAATCCATTATTTTTAAATGTAAGAAAAATAAGAAAGAAAAAAAATGCCCACACAAAACCGAAAAATGAAACTGTTTTCAATTTGTGGATGGAAACGATTGACTTATTTTCATTGTTGAGCAAATGTGCTAAAGCCAAGAAATGTATAAAATCAAGAGAATATCTTAAACTAACAGAAAATGGGGAGAAACTAACTATCGAACAAAACAAAAAAAAAAAAAACAAAATCAACCCAGAAAGATGAAACACTGCCTACACGAGAGAGGAAACAAAACAAAGAAAAAGAAACTAGCAACAAATTACCAACTACAATAAACAAAAAACAAATCGCAAGTAATGAATTTAAAGCAGACCCAAGACCAAGGGCGATGCCAGAAACCAGAGGCAGCAGGAACACTGCTTTTCCACCCTCGTTCTTAGATAGCCAAGTTAACCAATTGAAGCCCAGATCCAAATCAGAAACTGTACAGTCCAGCTAACTATAATATTAATTACCAACCGAGAGTAATTGTACTTATCCCCGAGGGCAGCGGAGGAATAGAATTTCAAAGTTCACTGTTAATAAACCATAAAAACACACACGCAGACAGCGAGGCCTAATTATAGTTATTTTGTAGGAAGAACAGTCTTTCGTTAGACCGAAAATATGTTACCAAAATAACCAAATCGAAGCGGAGGAGGAGGAGGTGGAGGAGAGTTCTGGACGAGCTGCCATAAGCCATAAGATCGTTGAAGCCAAACGAAAAGCCGAAACCGAAACCGAAACACGGAAGAATCCAAAATAATAAAATGAAAACAAAGAGCGAACCATTTAGCATAACGTCGCCGACCGACGCGACAACATCCAGAGATCCTAGTTAATTAAATTGTACATTTTTATCAGTTAGCTGTAAGCGCAGTGCGTATATACGACTATGTGGATATAAAAGATGTATATGGCAAAAATGTGTATCGTAATATATTAAAAACTTAATTTTACAAAAAAAAAACAAGCCTAATATAAACGTCTGACTCTGTGGGATTCCCTTGGAAGCTTTGCCGGCGAGAGCTTTCAAGCTGCTGAACTTGGGGGGGCTTGGCAGCGGCTCTCAGACTGGGCTCGCCACAAAAGCAGCTAAAACTGTGACAGGTTTTAGAGCCACAGCTATGAGGTACCATTGTAGGAAAAATCGGAATATATTTTAAACTTGTGATGCTTTTAATTATTTAAAAGCATTATTTGATTATTTATTATTCTGAAATTATACTATAATTTGTTTAACTGTTTTACAAGTATTTGAGCATTCTATTTTAAATGATTCTAAAATCAAAAACTATTTAAATTACAAATGTTGACAGGAGTAACTTAAGGGACCTCCTCCTTCTTATGGATAAAAATTATTTTAAATTTGATTATTATTTACAGAATAATGCATTTTAATTTGCTTCATTATTGAAGTATAAGTAACTAATGTACGTGGACATCCTCCAACTTTTGACCGCTCCTGTTTTCCAAGTGTCCCTAAAACCTCGCAAATCATCTCAAACTCTTAGCTCAAATGCCAAAGCCAATCATAGGTGGTTCTCTATTTTTAGTCCCTCCCACTTAGACACGCAAATGCCATTGATTAGCATAATTAATGCCAAAAACTTTGCAATAAAGTAAAAAGTATCAAGGAGAAGCTCAGAGCGCCCAACGTCGAATGTGAAAAGGAAGGCGCAAAAGCGAAAGTATGTTAGCATAAATCGATCAAGGAGGAGCTGCTACTGGTTCAGTTCCCCCGACCCAAAATGTCTCCGGCATAAAACTATTTATAAACATGCCGTAAGACGGGACCGCAAGGTGCAGGCGCAGCTGTGTGGAGCCACCGGCGGAGCTCCTTTGCCAGAGTTGAGCTCCGTGTGCCCAATTGGACTGACTGCCAGGTGACACACGGCACAAGCGCATTGAAGGAGCACATGCATGCCGACGGATGGAGACGATACACCGAAACAACTATTTTATGTGTTGAATTTAGTGTGCAGATTTGTTAACCTTATAAAAATTAACTCAAAAACGTATTAAATTTTAATTTTAATTTCATTTTGGCTTTGGTTTAGATTTTAAAGCTTGAATTTTCTTTAAAATGATCATAACAAATAATGAATAAATATCAATTTAATGAAATCAAATATTTCCAGTCCTCTTAAAGGGTATTTTGGATTTGCCATAATTAGTTATTATTATTTATTATAGATTTACACTTTTTTTCTCCGTGTTAGGTTAACAGTATTCATTCCGCGGGAGGAAATCGGGGGTTAAGCAACATAACAATAAATACCGCTAGGCAACCGTAAATTCCCTAGCATGAATCGATTTAACGAAGCCCGTGGGAGCGGAGGGTAGGCCACTGAGGTCGTCCCAGGTCCCAGGTCGCCAGCGACTCTCCTCCGACTCCGGCTGAGATTCAGCGACAGGCAGCCATCCAGCCAGGTACATACTCGAATTATTCCCAGCTCGAGAAGTGTGCCAGGTGGGGGCAATCGAGTGTAGAGATTTTGCAGCGACAGTTACACTTTACACGGAGCCCTCATCCCTGTGTATATTCTTTGGTTTCTTACGCAACCTTAATCCCCATTCCGATTTCAATCGCAATCCCAGAAAGATGTTGCCCAATCTGAAGTCGCGCCGCATCACGGGCCTCCAGCTGGCCGGGAAGCATCTGGGCCCGGTGGCCAAGTGCCCGCCTCGCTATTCCGAGGAGGATTGGGACTACAACAACAAGATAAAGTTTAGGATCACCTGCGACCAGGAGAAACTGGCCGAGCGGATCGTGGAGTGAGTATATCGGGGGAAGGGAGAGAGTTTTGGGTGAACGGATTCCAGTTGATGACCCTCTCATCATCCAGGGAATCGCGTCGCGTGGTGGATGAGACGAAGGACACGACCAAGAGCTGGCAGCGTGAGGTGGAGCACCACATGCGCGAGCGCACCAGCGAGATTCGCTTTCTCGTGGACGAGCTGAATCGGCAGAAGAAGACCGCCACTCTGGAGGATGAGGCGCTGAACACCTATCGCAACCGCGTGCTTAACTGCATCGAGTTCCTCAAGGACAAGTCACTGGCCATCTGCAAGCAGTGCCTGATCCTGCGAGAAGGCCGTATCGGGGTGGATCTCTGCGATGACGAAGTGGACCGCTCCCTGCGCCGCGAGCTCAAGGTGATTAAGGGCTGTCAGGGATTGGCCGATGCGGCCCTCAAGGAGGCCGAGGAGCAGATCCGCAAGCTGCGCGCCGCCATCTATCTGCTCGACCAGGACCTGGCCGCCAAGGACAAGTCCCTGGCCATTGACGAGAAGAACTTGAAGCTTAAGGACTTCCAGCATGATCTGGGCAAGGGTCAGGATTTGTCTAAGCAGCACTGGTAGGTTTCTGTTTCTAATCGTTGGAGGAATGTAAATTATATTGCCCTAAAGGGTAGGGTTTGAAGGGTTGACCCAAATCCATAGCATTTGAGGAATTGTAAAGATATATATTGGGTCTTGGGGAACTAGAAAATAGTTTTCTAAAATTCTTTCTTTCTTTTTAATACACGTTTTACCAACAATCTAATCTTATCTTAATTGCTAAGCTTCGTTCTTATGCTTAGAAGAGATCAAAAAATATCAATTATTATTTTAAATAAACCTTTAATTAGCAAGTTTCTGGTCCGATTTAAGATTGTTTTTTTATTATTTTGATTGAGAAAGGTCAATTCTTGTAACAAATCCATAGTTTCCCAGACAATATCGGTTAGAATAATAGAAAACACTTCTTTATAAATCAATCCGATGGTTGCCATGACTCCCCTGACTTTCTCTATCTATCCACATCCTTTCTCCTCCTTCCAGCCAATTCTCTCTGACCGAGTGGCAGGCGCAGACGTACGAGAATCTAGAGGCCAACGCCAAGGCCTTGGTGTCCGCCGGACAGCTGCGCGCCTACATCGATCTGCTGCTGAAGCAGGTGTGCGAGGACATGCAGAACCAGACGGACCGCACCAACGAGGCTTTCGAGCGCCGGATTTCAGAGACGAAGCACGTGAAGCAGTGCTTGGAGAACAAGCACAAGGACACAATGGACCACATCCACCAGGTGCAGCGCAACATGACCGAGCTGGAGAAGGAGATGATGGACAAGCAGCGGGCCATCACTTTGTGCCAGACACGACTCAGCAATCGCGCCCATCGGCCCGGATTGGAGCTGACCTGCGACATGGTCCAGGACGCACTCTACAATGAGCTGCAGGCGCTGAAGGCTTCCGTCTGCAAGCTCAACCAGAAGCTGAACGAGAACAAGGCCTCCATGCGCTACCTGATGCACGTCCAGGTGATGCAGGAGGAGGAGATCAACATCAAGGCGAATACCTGCAAGATTGACGAGGTCGATTGCATGACTCTGCGCCAGGCCCTCAAGTACCAGACTTTCTAATCCTGGCCAGGCAACAGCACCACGAGTACCCGTACCAGTACCAGTTCCAGTACCAAGTCCCTGTACCGCACCAGTCCAGTAGTCGCAGCCAGCGTCCCGCACGCAGCCCAGCCACCACCATTAATCAAATTAGATGCATCATGCATGTGCATTTCGTGTTCGATCCCAAATTACTTAATAAATTGAAATTCACTTTCGATTTTCCAGTTACATCAAGAGTGTATATTAAAATAGAGCTTTTGGATGGTTATAGTGCTTTGGGAAAGGTTTCTAAGTTGTTAAAAGGATCTATTTTTGGAAATTGCAAGCCAAATTTAAATTAATTTAGCCAGTATTAAAAATAACAGCAATAATTCAAAAATTTAAATTTCCCTTTCCAAATCTAGTATATTCTGGTATTTTATACTGTCACTCGATAGTTTTGCACGCGTTATCGATAGTGTGATCGAAAATGCGAGGGAGTAGCGAAAAGTGTTACCGTACCGGTGTGAAAATATTAAGTGTGACCGAATGCTAGCCCCCACAGCGAAATGATATTGATGAGGATTTACAAAACGTAGAAAAGCCAGAGGAAACCTTAATTAATGTTGAGCTAAAAGTGTACAAACCTGAGATTAAGGTAAGTCCCAGACCCCGCTCCACTTTCTCCGCCGCGAACGGTGTGCTGGCGTCGGCAGGGCCGGGTACTTTTCACGCCTCTGCCGCCGCCGCCGCCGCACACGATAAAAAAATGGAGTACAGCCACGAATGGCAAATCAATAATGCGGAAGATTGATGTTTTTCGCCACTAAAATTCGCCAGGGTTCCCCTTTTGTCTGTCCACTTGCAGTGCAAGGATGTCGAAACGCAGCGCCGACGACGCCAGCGGCGGCAGCGGCAGTGGCGCCAGCAGCGGCCTAGTGGCGGCCGCCGCCGCCGGCCAGCCGCCTATCAAGAAGGTGCACTTCGAGCCGCACCTGATTGGGCCGGTGTCCACGCTGGAGGAGATGGACATCAAGGTGCTGGAGTTTCAGAACAAGAAGCTCGCGCAGCGCATTGAGCAGCGGATGCGCACGGAGGCGGAGCTTCGGCACCGCATCGAGCAGCTGGAGAAGCGGCAGACGCAGGACGACGCCGTGCTGAACGTGGTCAATCGGTATTGGAACCAGCTGAACGAGGACATTCGCGTCCTGTTGCAGCGCTTCGATGCCGAAACGGCAGACGAGCTGGAGAACCGCAACGAGAACGAGGTGACCACCTCTTTTCTCGCGCAACTGTCCACCTGGGACAAGGAGGAGCTGGACGAGAAGCTGGCCAACCGCGTCCAGGTGTCAAAGCGGGCGGTGGCCAAGATCGTGCAGGTTATTGATAGGTTAATGCAACGCAACGAGAAGATAACTCATGTATTGAAAGGTGATAGCCTGGCCGGCGCAGCAGCTGGATCCGGGTCTGGGGCGGCCGGCGACGATGAGCAGCAGCAGCAGTCCAGTGGCGATGCGGAGTCGGCGACAGGCGCCGCCGCTGGCGTCCATGCGCTGGAGGAGACGCTCAAGCAGACTCACATCGAGATCATGAGCGAGAACCACAAGCTGCAGAATCTGAATACCTCGCTGCACGAGAAGTTCCACACCATGTCGCTGAAGATGAAGGAGTACCAGGACGCGCACACCGCCAAGGAGACGGAGAACGCCGAGCTGAAGAACCAGATCGACGAGCTGCAGTACGACCTGGAGAAGATTCACTACCGGAACGATAAGCTGGAGAACCACCTGGCCGAGGCCATTGAGAAGCTGAAGGCCTACCACCAGATCTACGGGGATCCCAATAAGAGCAGCAACAGTGCCAAGACGCCCGCCTCGACGGCCATGGGCACCACCACAACCAATGTGAATAGCCAGCACTTGGAGGAGCTGCAAAAGGAGCTGGAGGAGTATCGTGAGCTGGCCAATAACCGCTTGCAGGAGCTGGACAAGCTGCACGCCACGCATCGCGAGACCCTCAAGGAGGTGGAAAAGCTGAAAATGGATGTAAGTATGGGATCAGAAGGGTCTTGACGAGAGCGAACTCATTACGTTTTGCATTCCACAAATTTTAACATTGTTTCATTGCGAATCTCGCCCGATTTCAGATACGCCAACTGCCCGAATCGGTGATTGTGGAGACCACGGAATACAAGTGCTTACAGAGCCAGTTCTCCGTGCTCTACAACGAGTCCATGCAGATCAAGACCATGCTGGACGAAACTCGAAATCAACTGCAGACGAGCAAGAACCAGCATCTGCGGCAGATCGAAGTGATGGAGAGCGAGGAGCTGATTGCCCAGAAGAAGGTACGCAGCGAGATGATCCAAATGGAGGACGTGCTGGCCCTCATTCGCAAGGAGTACGAGGCGCTGCGCATCGAGTTCGAGCAGAACATGGCCGCCAATGAACAGACGGCGCCCATTAACCGCGAGATGCGCCACCTGATCACCTCACTGCAGAACCACAACGGGCAGCTGAAGGGCGAGGTGCAGCGGTACAAACGCAAATACAAGGACACATCCACGGATAACGTTAAGCTGCGCAAGGAGTTGGACGAGGCTCTCGCGACGCTGGAGGGCAACAAGCTCAAGTCGGAGTCAGGTGCTGCCGCCGGCGAAGAGGTCAAGCAGGAGAACGCCACGAGTGTGAAGGAGGAGAACGCGAACAATGCCTCCGCCTGCGGCCAGTCGAATCAAAATAATTCCTCGGGCAGCGACCCCAACATCGCCCACATCAAGGAGGAGAACTCCGTTTCGGCCGAAGACGAGGCTGATGACGATGTTAAGGATGTCAAGGACGGCAGTATCAAGCAGGAGAAGCTCAGCGCTGGAGAAGCAGCGGCGGCGTCGGCAGCAGCTGAGAAAAAAGACTCCCCTGGTCCGGGAAATTCCACGAATGCGTCGTCGACAAATTCCAGTTCCGCTGGTGGGACGGTCAAGAACGAAAAGGATTCCAAGGACGGCGTCAAGGGGAAGGATGTCAAGGCCGTGGAAAGCGAAGCCATGCGTGATCTGCGGGCACAACTAAAGTAAGTCATCATCCTGCACTCCTTTTCGGTTCCTGATTTACCTTTTTTCCCACAGAAAAGCGCTGAACGACCAAAAGGAAATGAAACTCCTGCTGGACATGTACAAAGGCGTCTCGAAGGATCAACGCGACAAGGTGCAGCTAATGGCCACCGAGAAGAAGCTGCGCTCCGAGATCGAGGAGCTACGCCAGCAGCTTAAAAAGCTGCAGGAAAGCAAGCGCGAGGAGCGCAAGAAGCTGGCCGACGAGGAGGCACTGCGCAAGATCAAGCAGCTGGAGGAGCAGAAGTACGAGCTGCAGAAGCAGATGGCCAACCACAAGCCCTCGGAGAATGCGTGGGGCAGTGGAGCACCCGGCACTGCGAACTACACACGGCCCTTCGTCGGCTCCCACGAGGAGGAGGCGCTGCTCAACGAGATGGAGGTGACGGGTCAGGCCTTCGAGGACATGCAGGAGCAGAACTCGCGGCTCATACAACAGCTGCGCGAGAAGGACGACGCCAACTTCAAACTAATGTCGGAGCGCATCAAGGCCAACCAGCTGCACAAGCTGCTGCGCGAGGAGAAGACGGTGCTGGAGGATCAGATGGCCACGGCCACCACGCAGATCGAGGCCATGCACATTGTTCTGCGTAAGCTGGAGGAGAAGGAGCGCAGTCTGCAGGCCACCGTGGCCTCCATCGAGAAGGAGCTGATGCTGCGCCAGCAGGCCATGGAGATGCACAAGCGGAAGGCGATCGAATCGGCCCAGTCGGCGGCCGACCTGAAGCTCCATTTGGAGAAGTACCATGCGCAAATGAAGGAGGCGCAGCAGGTGGTGGCCGAGAAGACCAGCTCGCTGGAAGCGGAGGCCTACAAGACGAAGCGGCTGCAGGAGGAGCTGGCGCAGTTCAAGCGCAAGGCGGAGCGCATGAAGAAGATGGAGATGTCGGGCACGACCATTGACGAGGTGATGATCGAGGAGATACGTGAGTACAAGGAGACGCTCACGTGTCCCTCGTGCAAGGTGAAGCGAAAGGACGCGGTGCTGTCCAAGTGCTTCCACGTCTTCTGCTACGACTGCCTGCGCACGCGCTACGAGACGCGGCAACGGAAGTGTCCCAAATGCAACTGCGCCTTCGGCGCCAACGATTATCATAGGCTATATCTGCAGTAGATAAGCGATAGTACCACCCGTAACGATAATTTTAGACCCGTTCCGGTCCATGTCCCCAATTCACACACTCCTCACACCCCCACCCATCTATCCCCGAGCCCCTCTCACTCATGCCGGAACATTCATTACGCATAATATTACCGTACATACTAATACTTGGTTAAGTAGTCTCCGAATAACACCCTCAGAAGTCCCAATCCCAATCCCCCGTGGCAGTTATCTGAATTCGTTCATCCATTATCGGCGCCAAGCAAAACGCATCTCATGAGTGCCGCGAGCGACCATGCGCGGCTTTTTTTATGTAGCTTCTAGTTTTTGTAAATCGAACTCTATTTTTAATTGATTTCATTTGAAAACTAAATGTACGAACACTAATAAATGGCTAAAAACTTTATGTTTAGAGCGTATCTACAATTTAACTGGGTTTTTCAACTGAATCGGGAGAGATTCCTCTGTCCTTCGATTATTTGTTTTATTTAAATTTGGCGCTTTTACAAGTTCGATTTCTGTTTCATCAAGAGTTTTATTCGATACATCGATTATATAGAATTGGACAAATATAAGGTTGATATCTAGGCTAATTTCTATAGCGTTGACAAAAGCAAGGTATATAACAAATTATATATAATATATATACTCACCTGGAGTTTTTATTTTTACATCCCGATATTTTATCAAAATTTAAAGTCAAAACCCAGAGTAAATTTGTTAAATAAAAAATATAGTAAAATGAAACAAGAAAGGAAGCTAACATCGACACGCCGAAGTTTGTATACCTTTGCAGATTGTAAGGCCATTCTGGTTAATGGCCTTCCCATGCAATTTGCCTGATTCTCAAATTGGGGTAACAGGCGAACAGAAACCAGCAGCAAGCAACTGAAAACTGGTATAAAGTGTTATAAAAAGTCCAAGTTTCGAACCTTATGGGAGCAAGCGAAAGTCAGCGGAGACTTAAACCTGGCTTCTTTCCCAAAATACAACTCTGTGTTGTCTGCTCTCTTCTTTTCTGGACACTTGCTATCCCTCTCTTAGCTGCCTGCCCAGAGTTGCATTTTGGGAAAACAGCCGTTACTTTCGCTTGCTCCTAAATGGTTCGAAACTTGGACTTTTTATAACAGTTTTCAGTTGCTTGCTGCTGGTTTCTGTTCGCCTGGTACCCCAATTTGAGAAACGGCCAAGTTGCATAGAAATTGTTGAAATTTTGAATGGGCTGCTGTAATTATTTTTAATTTCTCTAGCTTCAGTTGCGACTTAAATTATTATTTATTTCTCCCGTTCATTGAAAATTATAATATTTAAGAAAATAAAAAATATTTAATTTAAATATTTATTTATTTAATTTATAATTGGTATAAACTATATAACTGGTATAAACATTTATATTTTATTTTATGCACTTATACCCTTTTACCGCCGCACAGCCATTTGATTGCAACAACAACCCCATTACAACAACCTCCCTACAGCAGCCATCCAAATTTTCGAAAATTTCCATGCAATTTGCCAGCTTCTCAAATTGGGGTAACAGGCAAACAGAAACCAGCAGCAAGCAACTGAAAACTGGTATAAACTGTTATAAAAAGTCCAAGTTTCGAACCTTATGGGAGCAAGCGAAAGTCAGCGGAGACTCAAACCTGGCTTCTTTCCCAAAATACAACTCTGTGTTGTCTGCTCTCTTCTTTTCTGGACACTTGCTATCCCTCTCTGAGCTGCCTGCCCAGAGTTGCATTTTGGGAAAACAGCCGTTACTTTCGCTTGCTCCTAAATGGTTCGAAACTTGGACTTTTTATAACAGTTTTCAGTTGCTTGCTGCCGGTTTCTGTTCGCCTGGTACCCCAATTTGGAAAACGGCCAAATTGCATAGAAATTGTTGAAATTTTGAATGGGCTGCTGTAATTATTTTTAATTTCTCTAGCTTCAGTTGCGACTTAAATTATTATTTATTTCCCCCGTTCATTGAAAATTATAATATTTAAGAAAATAAAAAATATTTAATTTAAATATTTATTTATTTATTTAATTTATAATTGGTATAAACTATATAACTGGTATAAACATTTATATTTTATTTTATGCACTTATACCCTTTTACCGCCGCACAGCCATTTGATTGCAACAACAACCCCATTACAACAACCTCCCTACAGCAGCCATCCAAATTTTCGAAAATTTCCATGCAATTTGCCAGCTTCTCAAATTGGGGTAACAGGCAAACAGAAACCAGCAGCAAGCAACTGAAAACTGGTATAAACTGTTATAAAAAGTCCAAGTTTCGAACCTTATGGGAGCAAGCGAAAGTCAGCGGAGACTCAAACCTGGCTTCTTTCCCAAAATACAACTCTGTGTTGTCTGCTCTCTTCTTTTCTGGACACTTGCTATCCCTCTCTGAGCTGCCTGCCCAGAGTTGCATTTTGGGAAAACAGCCGTTACTTTCGCTTGCTCCTAAATGGTTCGAAACTTGGACTTTTTATAACAGTTTTCAGTTGCTTGCTGCTGGTTTCTGTTCGCCTGGTACCCCAATTTGAGAAACGGCCAAGTTGCATAGAAATTGTTGAAATTTTGAATGGGCTGCTGTAATTATTTTTAATTTTTCTAGCTTCAGTTGCGACTTAAATTATTATTTATTTCTCCCGTTCATTGAAAATTATAATATTTAAGAAAATAAAAAATATTTAATTTAAATATTTATTTATTTAATTTATAATTGGTATAAACTATATAACTGGTATAAACATTTATATTTTATTTTATGCACTTATACCCTTTTACCGCCGCACAGCCATTTGATTGCAACAACAACCCCATTACAACAACCTCCCTACAGCAGCCATCCAAATTTTCGAAAATTTCCATGCAATTTGCCAGCTTCTCAAATTGGGGTAACAGGCAAACAGAAACCAGCAGCAAGCAACTGAAAACTGGTATAAACTGTTATAAAAAGTCCAAGTTTCGAACCTTATGGGAGCAAGCGAAAGTCAGCGGAGACTCAAACCTGGCTTCTTTCCCAAAATACAACTCTGTGTTGTCTGCTCTCTTCTTTTCTGGACACTTGCTATCCCTCTCTGAGCTGCCTGCCCAGAGTTGCATTTTGGGAAAACAGCCGTTACTTTCGCTTGCTCCTAAATGGTTCGAAACTTGGACTTTTTATAACAGTTTTCAGTTGCTTGCTGCCGGTTTCTGTTCGCCTGGTACCCCAATTTGGAAAACGGCCAAATTGCATAGAAATTGTTGAAATTTTGAATGGGCTGCTGTAATTATTTTTAATTTCTCTAGCTTCAGTTGCGACTTAAATTATTATTTATTTCCCCCGTTCATTGAAAATTATAATATTTAAGAAAATAAAAAATATTTAATTTAAATATTTATTTATTTATTTAATTTATAATTGGTATAAACTATATAACTGGTATAAACATTTATATTTTATTTTATGCACTTATACCCTTTTACCGCCGCACAGCCATTTGATTGCAACAACAACCCCATTACAACAACCTCCCTACAGCAGCCATCCAAATTTTCGAAAATTTCCATGCAATTTGCCAGCTTCTCAAATTGGGGTAACAGGCAAACAGAAACCAGCAGCAAGCAACTGAAAACTGGTATAAACTGTTATAAAAAGTCCAAGTTTCGAACCTTATGGGAGCAAGCTAAAGTCAGCGGAGACTCAAACCTGGCTTCTTTCCCAAAATACAACTCTGTGTTGTCTGCTCTCTTCTTTTCTGGACACTTGCTATCCCTCTCTAAGCTGCCTGCCCAGAGTTGCATTTTGGGAAAACAGCCGTTACTTTCGCTTGCTCCTAAATGGTTCGAAACTTGGACTTTTTATAACAGTTTTCAGTTGCTTGCTGCCGGTTTATGTTCGCCTGGTACCCCAATTTGGAAAACGGCCAAATTGCATAGAAATTGTTGAAATTTTGAATGGGCTGCTGTAATTATTTTTAATTTCTCTAGCTTCAGTTGCGACTTAAATTATTATTTATTTCCCCCGTTCATTGAAAATTATAATATTTAAGAAAATAAAAAATATTTAATTTAAATATTTATTTATTTAATTTATAATTGGTATAAACAATATAACTGGTATAAACATTTATATTTTATTTTATGCACTTATACCCTTTTACCGCCGCACAGCCATTTGATTGCAACAACAACCCCATTACAACAACCTCCCTACAGCAGCCATCCAAATTTTCGAAAATTTCCATGCAATTTGCCAGCTTCTCAAATTGGGGTAACAGGCAAACAGAAACCAGCAGCAAGCAACTGAAAACTGGTATAAACTGTTATAAAAAGTCCAAGTTTCGAACCTTATGGGAGCAAGCGAAAGTCAGCGGAGACTCAAACCTGGATTCTTTCCCAAAATACAACTCTGTGTTGTCTGCTCTCTTCTTTTCTGGACACTTGCTATCCCTCTCTGAGCTGCCTGCCCAGAGTTGCATTTTGGGAAAACAGCCGTTACTTTCGCTTGCTCCTAAATGGTTCGAAACTTGGACTTTTTATAACAGTTTTCAGTTGCTTGCTGCCGGTTTCTGTTCGCCTGGTACCCCAATTTGGAAAACGGCCAAATTGCATAGAAATTGTTGAAATTTTGAATGGGCTGCTGTAATTATTTTTAATTTCTCTAGCTTCAGTTGCGACTTAAATTATTATTTATTTCCCCCGTTCATTGAAAATTATAATATTTAAGAAAATAAAAAATATTTAATTTAAATATTTATTTATTTAATTTATAATTGGTATAAACTATATAACTGGTATAAACATTTATATTTTATTTTATGCACTTATACCCTTTTACCGCCGCACAGCCATTTGATTGCAACAACAACCCCATTACAACAACCTCCCTACAGCAGCCATCCAAATTTTCGAAAATTTCCATGCAATTTGCCAGCTTCTCAAATTGGGGTAACAGGCAAACAGAAACCAGCAGCAAGCAACTGAAAACTGGTATAAACTGTTATAAAAAGTCCAAGTTTCGAACCTTATGGGAGCAAGCGAAAGTCAGCGGAGACTCAAACCTGGATTCTTTCCCAAAATACAACTCTGTGTTGTCTGCTCTCTTCTTTTCTGGACACTTGCTATCCCTCTCTGAGCTGCCTGCCCAGAGTTGCATTTTGGGAAAACAGCCGTTACTTTCGCTTGCTCCTAAATGGTTCGAAACTTGGACTTTTTATAACAGTTTTCAGTTGCTTGCTGCCGGTTTCTGTTCGCCTGGTACCCCAATTTGGAAAACGGCCAAATTGCATAGAAATTGTTGAAATTTTGAATGGGCTGCTGTAATTATTTTTAATTTCTCTAGCTTCAGTTGCGACTTAAATTATTATTTATTTCCCCCGTTCATTGAAAATTATAATATTTAAGAAAATAAAAAATATTTAATTTAAA